TTCTAGAATCTTTCCTACACTGAGAACATCTAAGTAGGTTGTTCCTAATTTGAGACAGCATAAATCTTTTCCTAAGTTCATCCAGTTTTTGTGATGTAATTTTGGTTGAAGAAGGGATTTCTGCAATAGTTTTACCAAGATATACATTACAATATATAGCAGAAAAACACTATTATTTGCAGTAATGCCCCTTCCTCCTCCCTGAAATGAAAAATAGTTACCTTTTACCTCACCTGAGCCCATGGCAAAAATGGGTGAAATCATTTACAAATCTTCTACAGAACCACTATACCAGATGTCATAGAATTTGAGTTGTCATAGGATTTGAGTGAGCATTCCTTGCCGTCCAGCTACAGCGGGGAAAAGTTTTTTTTGCAATGTATATATGTTCCTCGTTTTGTAGCTTGTTTATTGATTAATTAATGTGTTACGTCTATTGCAAGAGATTTTAACACATTTAAGACGTCACCTAATACCGGTTTTCACTCTAACACAAATTCATGACACTTACGATTGAACAGTGAATGTTCTTTATCGTGCAAACGCCTATCATGTTACACAGACCGAAAAAAAATTTAGGGGTCATTTGGAGAAGGAACAGTTAATATCTATTATAAGTACTAGGTTTTACGCGGCGCCAGAAACGAGAAAATCCCAGACCACAGCATCAGTTTTTGATTGCCCCACTTCAAGACTACCACTTTTTGAAATTTATATATTCATATATTTAGCAATTTGAATTGGTTATCATAGAAATGTTCCAAAAGTGTAACTGAATAGCAAGAATTTTTAGTAGGATGATCAAAATTTAAAAAATATCAGAATTTTGGTTAATCACTGTAACTCCTAATTAGTATGAATTGAGAATTATTTGAGAGTGACGTAGTTAAAGGATCCTTTGATAATGGAAGTGATGTTTAAAACGTACACATGGAATTCAAATAAAAATACTGCTAAATTGTTCTATATATTGGAAAAAATCATCCATGACTTGCATGACATTCAAGATAAAAATTATAAAACCTCATACAGTTATTGATGACTGATCTTACTGTTGCATACTGTGTGTTGTAATATGTATTTTATTTTAACTTATGATTGAACTCAGTGTGTCTTTAAATAAGGGACTTACATTTATTCAAAAATTTACTTCAATCCAAATTAGTAATTCATCGTCATTAAAAAAACTATCCTGACAAGAAAGGGAACCAGTAGGCTTCAAACATCAAAGAAAGAATTGAATAAGCCATTCACCACTCCAAGTTTTAATTCAAATCATATATCATAATCTGGTTTTACATTGAATTTCCCGTTCCGGTTGCCTGGGAACCTGCAGATTGAGAGGCAGATCCAGCAGCTCTTGGGAAGATATCGCGTACACATTGTCTTCTAAAATTACAGTAGTACCCAAAAGGACAGTCTCTGTCGGAAAACTGGAAAAAAAAACAGATTTCATACGTATGGCATAATTTACATTCTTCAATTTAACCTTCAAGAGAGACGTTTTCAAAAAAATTGTCGATGTTTTAGTTCCAAATTTCTGATCTCAATTGTTTTTTACAGGAAGAAAGAATGCAATATTGATTATGTTTTGAAGTTAAATATGGGGATAACAGACAGTATTCAAGCTCAAAGTCAATGTTAACAATACAAAGCGGGAGCAAAACGGACCTCCAAAATCATCAGAGGAGGGATAAGGTACCATCCAGGAGTAAGAATCCCCTGTCGCACCCGACGTGAGCTCTTTCTTATGATTAGGTAAACGAATAAATCCGTAGAAAATTTAGTGTATGAATAATAGCCTAACAATAAGCATGAAAAATGCTTGTCAGCATTGGACGTGATGATTATTTGTATTTGCTAATAAGGTCATTGTATCGACCATAAAAAAAAAACAAAAGAAAAAACCCCAAGATACATAATTTTAGGAATACTCCTACATATACTTAATGGTTATACATTAAAATGTACCTTTGTATGATAATTATGTCTGGTTCGCATTAAGGTGTTAAGTAATATTATTATCAGGAAATATCCGTTTCTGTTGGCCATTGTACTAAGACATTCAGCCAAGTTTTTATATTGATAAAATAAGCAAAATTTTCGACAGTTTCCAAAGACTGCATGTATACTTATGTGTCCACAAAATGGAATTTAATTAAGACGATGAGAACTGCATTTTATACCAGCATTTTGTTGTTGAGCTAAAAAAATGAACTTTATTTCGGACTCTCGTTTTTAACGTAATGTGCTCAATAAAGACTAAAAAAGAGATGTCTTAGCGTTATTCGTTACTTTTTATAATATATGTATATCTCTCTAGTGTTTTTTTTTTTTTTACTCTACATTTGTAGTAAATTTCTAAGAAATATAGCATTAAAGATACCATTTCTTTATGACACATACACTGTACGAGACAAGATATTACAATACCAACACTTTATCAAATATAATGAAAAAAAGTAAGTTCAACTTACGCAAGTTCTAGATGTATTATCTGTAATGAAATGAAAAATAAAATAAACTTAACACACTATCATCCATGTCATAATTTTAGAAACTTCTTAAATTCTTAGGACCAGCATCAACGTATACTGTGAAATCACAAATTTTCGTAGGAGTTTAATATTCGTTGTTTTCGAGGTATGAAGAGACACACGAATTCATATCCACAAAGAAACGTAAAATGTAACTTACATAACTACTCAACAATTTCAAATCCCCACGAACCAAGAGTTTTTACTCAAACCACGAAAATTTGACCCCACGAAAATATGTGATTTTACAGTATCTGATTTAGTCTCCAACATTAATCTCTCTCTCTCTCTCTCTTACCTGGAACACACTCATATGCTCCGGTGAATCCAAACGGCCGACAAACTTGACCAAAGGGACATCCGGTCTACAAAAAAATACATCAAAGAAATCGAAGTCTGTAACACCACAACACAACTGATAACCTCAGAAGTTTAACTAAATCAAGTTAACGTCATTCGTAGTTGAGAATAAAACTTACCCGTCTGCAATCATCTAGGGAAAAAAGAAACATATAAAAAATTACATTTAAGATAAAAAAGATTTGAGGTTGACATGTTATGGATGATATAATAACAAAAATACACTGCAACTTATTACACAGCAACAATTTGTTTATTTTGTACGTTCACTATCTATCAAGTAAAATTAACAGAACAGAATTTACATAAATAATAATTTTGAAATTTAAAGAAATAAGTACATCCAGGTTGTATTATATTGAAGGTAGGGTTGTAATTTTTCTGACATACCTCTAACACATTCATATCGCCTTGTGAAGAAGTCGTATTGACAGTTATAACCAAATCGACATCCATACTGAAAATAAAAAAACAATTCATATGAAAAATAACAGCAAAACCAAAGCCTCTTTTTTTAAGTTAAATATTATTTACTTTTTAATTTCAATTTTAAATCATTCCTTGCGTATTTGAGGTCGACATCTTCGAACATAACCAATCAAGGTTTGCCGATAAAATCTAACCTAATAAAGTACCCAACACAAGTCAAACACTTAAAAATAGATGATAAATATTAATACCTGGAATTATACAATTTAGGTATCACTATATACATACATAGTAGAAAAAATAGTTTGCATAAGCTTTTCACTGTCAGATAGATCTGCTTGATGAAATATATGGAGATAAAGAACAATATTTCCATTTCTATTTGTTTTCTCTGTGATAATTATTTGAAAGTTAGTGGAGTATTTTTCTAGATAATTCCACCGGAATGTAAATTAGGCAAATCAATAGGTCAGGAGCCAAAGAGGCCAAGTACTAGTATACATGTAAATCTCATGCGCGTCTGTCTTTGTGCCTGATGCTAAAAAGGCCAAACATGCATGTAAATTTCGTGCGGCTGTCTTTGTGTTTGACGTCAGTAGACGAGGACTATTGAAATTGATATGGGAGGCCAATTTAATTTAAATATATTTATCTACATTAAAAATCTCACAATAAAATGAAAATATAAGGAATCACTGTCTAGTTAGTATAGTATGCCAGGAACATCAACGATACTGGGAAACATGGGATAATTTGCATAACGGGTGAAAAGAGATTTCTCAAGTATACGAGCTCAAAAGATCATTAAACAATACAAAATAGGAGCGGAGCAAACACGGATCTCCAAAAACATCAGAATTGAGATCAGGTGCAATGGAGGAAAGAGCATGTGGTTGTGATATGATGATTTTAAAAAAAGAGAGATACTACTCATGCTTCTTGAAATATAATCAAGTACCAAAAGTTCGATGGTATGTGCATATTACCCAATATATGTGTGTTTATACAAGTATAATATCTCTCTGGGGAAAATTGATCAATAAAAATAAAATGTACACTGAATTTGTTTCATCTTATCTATATAATAAACATTATATTTTTGACACATTTTTGATATGTCTATATATAATAGACATTACATTTTAAACACATTTTTGATATTTTTGCTAAATTTTAATGATAAAATTTCAATTTCTTATTTTCCCACTTCAACTTATTTATATTACTTATCTCAAAAAGCTATTGCTGGAAAATGAATATAAATAAAATCGAACTCAATAAAAACAAATCAACATTTAAAGCTATTTTTAAGAAGTAATCAAACAGTGGGACCAAATTGTGTTATTGATCTTTCTTTCTGAATGCTTGTTTATATAATACTTACATTTTAACACATTTTTGAATTTTTGATAAATATATTTTTCAATTTCATTTTCCATTTTTCATATTACTTTTAAAAAGTAAACTAGAAAAAAAATTATGCACTCACAGTTCTGCAATCTGGAAAAAAAATCAACGTAAAAAAATTAGAAATGGAAGGTCGTGAGTTATCTGATGTAAACTGTAATTTAATTTGGCATTTTGAAAAAGGTTATTCTTTAAGGACTTTTTACAATACTAATTCGTTTCTCTCTTGAGTTTTCGTTACAAATATATTGGCCATCACTCACTTACCTCTTCCTATATTATCTCTTTGACACCGTCTGTTAATGCACACTTCGCCAAATGAACAATCAGAATCATACTTGACCAAAAAAAAAAGGTTAATTGTTTACAATAAAATATAAGCATATAACGAACAGTATTCAGCTCAAAAGTCCATTAAACAATACAATACAATTGTTAACAATAAACTTTTTAAAACAATTTTTATGTCTGAAAGAAATCTTTTTAACTCACACGACACCTCTGAGAGCTAATACTATCTACAAAATAAAAATATATCAATAAAATTAATATACTTTATTGCTTCATTAGATTTGTAAAATTATCATATACTCTGAAAGGTAAAGCAGAAGTACAATAACCAAATATTATAAATGTTTATAAATGTTTATAAATAATAAGGACAATACAATATACATGTTGAACAATGATGAAACGTTTTGGTAGGTGCAATCTCTTGTAAAAAGTTTGAACTAGAATTATTTTAAAATTATATAATTTATAATTGAATGACAATTGAAATATTAAATATTGAACAGCAATAATTTTAACGTGTGTAATTAAACCTTAGTCATGTAAAATAGTCCATCAGTTTCAATATTTGAAAGAAATGTTAAACAAAAAGTGCTGACTCCTTCAGCACGATTTGGAATTAATTTCAAAAAAAAATTATGTGACTTTGTTTTAGATTCACAATATGAAGAAAACTTTATTTCAAAAACATAAGTTTTTTACCTCGACAGTAGTTATTGAAACATTGGTAACCAATGGGACAATCCGAATCCTAAAAAAGTATATTTTATCAAATATTTGACATGTAAAGGAATCATGCGAATTCAATTGAAATTCATATCTGAAATTCTTAATAGTATATCTAGCTCTTTCTACGACATTTTTTAAAAGTTCACTACTTACATATCGACAAAACCCTCCAGACTGCGCCTGGGCAGCGGAGATGAAAATCAGAGCGATTCCAAGACACAGAAAAGAAGTCATTGTGGCGGACACTAGGGAGCTACAGTGGGAAGAAAACAATGTCATCATTTAAAAACAAATCCTTTCGTAAGATCATTCACTGCAGCACATAAAATCCAAAAAGAAATATGGATTTGTAAAAATATCCTTAACTAATGAGGGCAATTAATCTTCCATCAATTAATTTGAAGTATATATATATGTTGCTTATGTAACAACCTCCTAGTCACTAAAGTTTGCCTACCTACCTGCACGGTAAGTACGGAGATTCTGAATTTTTTGCAGAACCAGACTGACTTTTATAGTCCCTAACCTCTCATCTTGTAGTACACGTTGTCTTTAATCAGGAATCAATCACTTCCCGGTTCAGAGCACTAGTTATGTCATAAATATGTTTGTTAAATCATATTGTTGATTCGAACATTTCATTTTCGAAAATTCACAGTGCAATGTCAAAGTGACCCGTCTTTGCTAGATGGTAGTCACGTTTAAATTTAACATGTGTAAATCAAAGAAATTGCAGAAAAACACGGTCTCTATGCGGAACAATCTTTGTACGTACACATATCGATTGATAGCATTTAAATCACTAGAAATTAATGAATCATTCAAAAAAATACAAATGTATTTGATAAGCTCATTAAATTAAATTATTATTTTTAACTTTTACATATATCATTTTGGTGATAAATATACACAGTTTTCGTAAGAATGCTGGATCAGTACTTGTCATCAAATTACAGAATTTTATAATATTTGGACATAGTATTTCTGCAACAAAAAAATCTTTTCGAATACTACATAGTGCATTACATCCCAGTAAGTAATGAAATTCGTCTCCTATCTGATTATTATTACACAAATTGCACTATTTCAACATTATTCCATCTAACAACTTCTATTGGAAGACGATGATTACTTGTTCTGAATCAGATAAGCTCATTAAGTTAAATTATTTTTTTAACTCTTACATATGTCACCTCCATCGCCTGAAGTTTATTGTCAGTGTTTTCTTTCTGATTTTAACTTCTTCAGAAGTTTATGAAATTTACAGAAACTTACCACAAATAACAAACCAAGGTTTAAGGGATTTGTTTACAGATGAAATATATGGAGATAACGAACAGTATTCAAGCTCAAAAGTCCATTAAACAATATAAAATAGGAGCAAAGCAAACACAGACCTCCAAAACATAAGAGGTGGGACCAGGTGCCATGGAGGAGTGTGCATCCTTTGTCTGTGCAATCCATTTCAAGAGGATAAAATTAAGTTAAATCAAAAAAGTATGGGGTTTGTGAAAAAACTCTAGCATAATAGAATCCTATGCAAATTATTCCGAATTCAAAACATTGTCCGTAGGATTAGGCTTGACAAAAAAGAATAAAAGTTTATCATAGAAATTAACATTAAATGGAAAACAATACAGTATGAGCACGCCATAGCGAAATGTAAGCATACCTGGAAAATGCAGATTCAGGTTAATTAACAGATATATAGAATTACCCAGCCCATTTGTTGTTATAGTATCAAATTGACCATAGTATATTTTTGATATAGCATTCTAAAAATTATTTTTAAAAACTTCATTTCTACACCACACACACCCTCACACACACACATACACACTGAAAACATTCCCTCATACAACACACACACACTATCCTGTTTGAAAAATTGAAATCAAGCACGTACACACACCTCACAAACACAAATACACAACAAAATATCCTTTTCGACATACTATATATTTTTTCCTGCTTTATTTATTTTCTTTTCCTTTCTTTTTTTTTTTTTTTTTTTTTCTTGTCAGCTTTTTCAGGTAAATAAAAAAAATTCATTCACTTTCAAAACAAAATCGATGCTACGTGCCTGTTATTTAATGTGTTCAAAATCTTTCATTTATTTATTTTTTCTTAAAACCCTTTTGTCTAAGGTTTTTAGGAATTTTTTTTTTTTACTTTTCCCTTTCTTCGATATTATGTAAAGTACATTTCAACAAGACCCAGTATGCTAATGATTAAAAAAGGAATTGTGAGTTCAATTAAATAAGAATTCATATCAATATATACATGTATTAGGTATCATTTTTAAGACAAAAACAACGATATTTAGCAAATATTTAACTCTTGTTTTCTTCCTAAATGGGAAAACAAACCAATTCCTCGTGTCAGTGGCTCAGTTGCATACTGTTCTGATATCTGATTTGGGAGAAAATCTGAAAGGTTTTATTGGGTTTATCTTTAATTGACAACTTAAAAAAAATGAAATTAATATCAATTCTTTTTCTCAATTTTCTAGTGATCCTTCTTTCTTCTTCTATGTGACCATTTTGTTCTTCGATATTTCCGTTAAATTAAAAAAGTCATTTTCATCGTCCATCAAAAAGTCATATGAAAGATTTTATATTTCTTTTTTATACAAGATTTCCTTTTTACAATTTTTTGGAGTTTTATTTGAAATAACGGTTTAAATCTCACTCTAATTATAGCAAAGAAGCCATGCGGTACTTGTTAATCTGTTTTTGATGAATCTGGACAAGGAACTTAATCTCGACATACATGTTATATACTATAACATCATAGATAAAAAGAATAAGTCATATACCACTCCAAATTTTTATTCAATATAATCAATACATAAAACAGTCTTGTTTACATTCCATTTCCGCTTTCAGTTCCGGTTGCCTGGGTATCTTGGGATTGATCGGCGGAGCCTGCAAATGGGAAGATAACGCACCGTCTTCTCCAGCAGTATTGCCCAAAAGGACAGTCTCTGTTAGTTCTCTGAGAAAAAAAGTTTTCGTTTACATCACCACGTCCTTCAATTTTAAATTCAGCTTTCTTTAGATACACAATTTTACAATATTTTTATTTTATCATAATTTTTTAAATAGACGAAAAGAATGTTATGTTTATTAATTTCAATGATAAATTATCAAAGATGTTATCAAATGCAACAGAGGAAAAAAATTAGTTTAACTTACGCAACGTATCCCCATATTTTCTGTAACACAAATTATAAATGAATAAATCTTAACCAAAAATTCATTGAATTTCTTATTTCTGATGAATGTTTTTAATGTCTTTTGAAACATTACTGCAAAATGAACTGCCTACATACTTCAAACTGCGAGAGAGCAAACTTTCTTGTTACTTGAGTATCATGATACAAAAGTTGTGCTAATCAATCTCTCCAGTAAATACAGCTCAACAAACTTTTTAAACTCACATGGTTTTTCGCACAAAATAAAGTCACATTTTTCTTACAATAAAACTTAAAAATTATCGAGTTTCACTTTCAGTGCGAGACATAACCGTTATATCATTAAATGTTTCATGTTAAAGGTGCATATTCTCTAAAGATCATTATCTTATGTTTTAAAAGTGAATGTTCTTAAAGGGAATTTGTTTATAAATTGTATGATGTTAAATGTGTATGATTCTATCACAGGTATTAACAAAGTAATTAATCAAATATTCTTTGAAACAATTTGGTTGAAATGTTCAAATTGACTTCTCACAGATGCATATTTTCCTAGGCACTTCGCACATTTTCCATACTTTCCTTGGTTTTGTCGAAATGCAGCGCCGAAAAATGATAAAACTATAAAGAAATCATGTGAGAGAATAGGATAATAAAGTATTGTTTATCTTTCAACACAGTAAATTGTAAATATTGAACAGAAAATTCTTTTACATTTATGGTCTGAAATTTTGGAAATTTTGCGTTGGAAGGGATCTTTCATGATGCTAGATTCCAAGAAGTTTAACTGAAAAATGCCATCTTTTTAACATGGAAAGCAGCCTAACAGATGATAAATACTTCTATCTTCTCGCGCCTTAGTGTCATGTTTATGTACAGAAAATACAGAAGTTACACGAAGTGCACTGTTTATGTATTAAGGCAAGGCAAAGGTATGCTAAAAAATAAGCGGATACAAAGACGGTTGCATTTGAAGAGAAAACGTGAAAAAACCAATTGGTCTCTCATAATATATCAGCCAAGAACATATCAAAATTCTACCAAATATCATATGTGAATTATGTTTTAAGTAATGGAATATGATCAAAATTAAGTTATAAATCAATTCTAAAATATATTTTGTTGTCACAATACACAGTTTTGCAATATAACTATGTGACCTTAATTTGTGCGAAAAACTATGTGAGTTAAAAAAGTTTGTTGAGCTGTACACAGATCCAAGTATATCTATATTCAATGAATATTTCTTCTTAATTTCATCCTATCCCTATATAAATAACTAGGTCCTAACCCGTTTTCTAAGTGATCCATTTAAGGAAACATAACACAAAACAAATGTTCTTATCTCCCACTCAGAAGAGTTACTCTGATAATTTTTTCAATATTTCTTTCAAACAAAATGTAATTAAGAAATTTTAATTGTGTAAAATGAAAAATTAATTCCTGAAAATGTCCCCAAAAACTTTGATGCAAGGAATCTTCATACATTTCATAAACTTTTCAAAAAAAAAAAAAAAAAAAAAAAAAAAAAAACTTATTCGACAGTAAAGTTGCATTTTTGCAAATTCATCCAATTGTGTGGCTTGGCCAAATATTAGGTTGTTTAAGTAAACAAATATCGCTTTTAAAGTGAGAGAAGCATCTGATTTTGAAAGAAAAATGTATGTTTGTGTTATTTATCATTAAAAAAATAGCGAAGTAAGGAGTCAATTCTTACGTCGCGGGTTCAAATCCCACTGTGGGACGTGGAGACCGGTCCTTCGGATGAGACCGTATAAAACGAGGTCCCGTGTCGCAGTAGGTGCTGGCACGAAAAAGATCCCTCCCTGCTCAATGGCCCTAAGTGCCGAGTATAGGACAAAATTTGCATCCCTCCATCGGCAAGTGTCTTCATATGAGTGAAAAATTCTCGAGAAGGACGTTAAACAATATACAATCAATCAGTCAATCAAAAAAATATCTTGAACAATGAGTCCAGCCATCATTAAAACATACCATAAGAGACGAAACACACTATAGCATGTTTTACATATTTGTATTTAGGTGATTATCAAGTTGAAAACGATGGTATTATTACTTTGAACCTAATCTATATACAATTAACGTCTTTTTGCAACTATTGCAATTCTTTTTACATTATTATCCCCTTGTGCGGATTACGTTTTTTGTCTGCAGAGGATGTAACCGTTAAGTCCTGAATTAATTTAGACCGACAGTATTTTTATTGTTTTATCGATAAATATACAGGGCTTTAAATACGCTCTCGTACATGTAGGTGTTAAAGTAAAGTATTTTCATCTCACCTTGAACACATTCGTATCGTGGAAATCTATACCTGCAAACTAGATTACCAGGGCAGCCAGTCTACAAAATAAAATACGTTTAGGAAATAGAAGTTATCATGAGAAGTGACACTAAGCTTCAGATAAAAATTCACAAACAATCTTAACCCTATGATTAAATTTGACAACACAGTAACATTTTGTCCAAGAAAGATATCACATGTAGTTTTTATGCCCCCGTAAACGAAGTTCCGGGGGGATATAGTTTTGGTCGTGTCCGTCCGTCTGTCTCTCTGTCTGTTTGTCTGTTTGTCCGCAAAAACCTTGCCCATAACTTTCGATTTAGTGGAGCTATGATTTTCATATTTAAGACGTGTATTTCTTGTGACAAGACCTTTCTTTGGGTACCACCAAATTAGACCTTTTGACCTTGACCTTGGAGTTTGACCCACTTTATCACAAAAATTCCAAACTTTTACTTTCGCCATATCTTTTGAACAGTAGGACATTTATACTTCACATATGTATTCCTTGTGGCAAGACCTTTCACCACCAACCTTGCCTTTCGACCTTGAAGATTTCCATAATTATGAAAAAAACCTTTAACATTGGCAATAACTTTTCAACGGTAAGGGCTAGAGCTTCCATACTTCATTTATGTAATCCTTGTAAAAAGACCCTTCACTAGATACCAAGAACTTTGACCTTGGACCTTGGAGTTTGACCTACTTTTAAAAAACAAACCTTTGACCATATATTTAAAAGGGTAGTACATGTAGCTAGTGTTTTCATCCTTTATTTATTTAATCCTTGTGACAAGACCTCTCACTCGATATCAAGACCTTTGACCCTTTGACCTTGGAGTTTCACTTACTTTTAAAAAATTTTAACCTTGGCCATAACTTTTGAACGGTTCGGGCTTGGGCTTCCACACTTCACATATTTATTCTTCGTGGCAAGACCATTTATTAGATACCTATAATTTTGACCATTTGACCTTGACTATTGAGATTTCCGGACTTATGAAAAACTTTAACCTTGGCAATAACTTTTGAACGGTTAAAGTTAGGGGTTTCATTGGATACCAATAACCTTGACCTTTTGACCTTGACCTTAGAGATTTCCGGACTTATGAAAAAACATTAACCTTGGCAATAACTTTTTGACGGTAGGGGCTAGGGCTTTCATACTTTCATACTTCACATATGTTATCCTTGTGACAAGACCTTTCATTGAATACCAAAAACCTTGACCTTCTGACCTTGATCTTGGAGTTTGACCTACTTTTAAAATCTGTTTAACCTTGGCCATAACTTTTGAACGGTTAGGACAAGGGCTTCCATACTTCACGTCGCCCGCGTGGCGCAGTGGTTAGAGCGTATGCTCTAGAGTCGCGAAGTAAGGAGTCAATCCTTACGTCGCGGGTTCGAATCCCACTGTGGGACGTGGAGACCAGTCCTTCGGATGAGACCGTATAAACTGAGTTCCCTTGTCGCAGTAGGTGCTGGCACGATAAAGATCCCTCCCTGCTCAATGTCTTGAGTGCCGAGTATTGGACAAAACTAACAGCTTTCACCGGCAAGTGGTGGCGTCTCCACATGAGTGAAAAAGTCTCGAGAGGGACGTTAAACAATATACAATCAATCAATCCATACTTCACATATGTGTTTTCTGTGGCAAGACCTTTTATTTGATACCAATAACCCTGACCTTTTGACCTTGATTTTGAAGAATTCTGTACTTATGAAAAAAACTTTAACCTGACCATAATTTGGGAACAGATGATGATAGGGCTTTCATATTTCACAATAGTATTTCCAGTTAGGAGACCCTACTTTGGGTACCAATATATAAAATTTGCATTTAAGTAAAGTTTAATCTTCACTATGTTGCCATACGGGGGCATCAGTGTTTCACAAACACATCTTGTTTTCTAAAATATTTTTCACAATGTAATCTAATTGTAAACGAATGAAAGAGTTTAAGGTGACCTACTTCAGCTAATATACTTCTTTTAGAAAGGGAAAATATTTATCTTAGTCGTAAGATTTTTTGTGAAAAGGGCCACAGAAGCAGGGCAAAACTTCAGAGGTGGGATCGGGTGGCATGAACAATGAGAAACTGTGAGATCAAACAAGAACCGTTATTTAACTTTTGAAATCAGAGAATTATTTACCTGAACTATTGCTATTGTATTAGTTTTTGTTTTTTTAAATTAAAACTAGAAGTAACATCTCTACTTACATATCTGCAATCTAAAAAAAACGAAACAAGGAGATGTTAAAATTTGAGAAAAGAGCAATGTAAACAATTTAAAATACTTTTGAATCATTGTAATTTTGCCCTTTTTAAGCATTTTGGTCTTACTAATTTTTCCTCTCTCTTCTCTCTGTACACTGTAAAAAATAACTAGTCACTAAGAAAACTAAATCTACTGTCCATACAATCACTACCTTAAAAGTAGTTTTACATAGTATTGAGTATATTTACTAGATAAGTGACTTTCACTAGGTATCTGAGTATCGATACGACCCCCTCTTCACAACTCACTATCTTAACCAGTAACCTGAAAGTTTACTAATCACGACAAACACTTTACGAGGCACACTAGTTAATTTCACGAGGTTTTTCTTTCAGAGTATATAGCCTTATTCTATTGTACAGCAATGACGTACCTCTACAGCGCCTGTTTATACACCTTTCTCCAAATGGACAATCTCTGTCGGACTAAAAATAAATGGAAATCCGGTTTATTGTTTAAAATTTGATTAAAGAAAAGGAGTTCATGAAATATTCATTTCTTTTTTAAAGAATGCCAGGTATTAAAGTAATCAAAACAACTCACTCTACAAAAATCAGGGCCATCAGAATCTTCAAAATAAATTAAAATATATACATGTATATTAATAAACTTTGTATCTGAAATATCATATATTAAAACATTTTTAGCACCCAGACAGAATATTTTGTATTCATATTTAGTATAAAAAAAACAAGCTCTAAGGATTAATTGGATTTTATTTTAGCCAAGAAGACCAGTTGATGGGTTACATTTACGTCGTTGTGGCAAAGAAGAGCTTAAAATACCACCAAATCGACTTAAACAGATATGTGAAAATGTTTTAAATCAATTTTCCATTTAGCAAATTTATCAATGATCAATTAACCATTAAGCATCGTTTTAAGCGAGTAACAGGTAAATTTTTTTAAAAAATATTTTTAACCAAGAGTAAAAAAAAACAAACAAGGGTGGTCTGGATATGCTAGGTTTTAGTTAAGTTTCGATATTTTTCTCTAAAATATTGAGTTAGACCTTGAATAACATATACGATTGCTTGTGTAAAACTTTGGTCGGTATCTTTGTTACAACTGGGGTCCTGATTTGAACAAATTAGATTCTACACTATCTGAAAAGATCAAATTAATGTGAAAGAGTTCTGAGGGTAGTGCTGTTCAATGTTGCTCAAATCAAGACCGCATTCATGAAATTGACTTTGCTTAGGTATTTCTATGAAAAAATTTGCTCCCCATTTTGGCCCCATCCCCAAGGAAGAGATTATTCATTTGAACAGCCTTGAATCTATACTACCTCCGCAAGGTTTCACATAAATTTCATCTTTTCTGACCCGACGGTTCTTTCGAAGATGATTTTTAGTTATCTCACTCAATTTTCACTTTTTCAAAAAAAATAAAAAATTCTTTGGAAGTTGATGTGACTTTTCTTTTGAATAAAGTTGAAAGGGTTTATCACGGAATACGTTGTGTCAAGTTAGGCTGAAATCGGCCCAGTGGTACTTGAGAAGGAGATTAAAATGTGAAAAGGTTATAAGACAATAACGACGACGACACCAACAACAAACAACCATCAAATTTCGATCAAAAAGGCTCATCTGAGCCTTCTGTACAGGTGAGCTATAAAGTCAACTTTCTCATTTATAGGTAAGGATGGACTGGAAACTTTAGTTTAATTTTCTACTATATAGTGCATGGCTCTCGCATTGCCCTGATCCTCCACTTCCGGTTTAAAAAAAAAAAATGGAGGATCTTAGAAGAGGACAATACGAGGGTTGTCCCGGAAAAACGCGATCATTTTCAATATCTTTTGTTTCACTAGGACTATAAAGTTAAAAATTGGCATACATCATGATCAACATGATTTTTCTTAATGATGCCTCAAAATTTCAGTAAAATATCTCTATAAATAACATTTTCCTATCGGGTAAACGAATCTATCAAATCAGTTGTCAGCGCAACACTGACGACGTCAATACGTATCTCGTAGTGTTTACGACTTTGTTCTGGCAACTGTGCTTCTAAAAATATTCATTTAAGCACACATTCGGCAGTGTATTCAATTTTGTTTTTGTTACCAAGTTATACATCTCAAATACTAGTGTTACTAAAAGATTGTGGAGTTCATTCTTCTTCATCATCTTCTTCCGATCATAAACCTAACTGATCGAATTATTTAACATTGGTCTTCACGTAGGCACCCCGTGGCTATCCGTGTTAGAATAGGTCCTCAGTACCCCCTTGCTTGTCGTAAAAGGCGACTAAATGGGGCGGTCCTTCGGATGAGACCGTATAAACCGAGGCCCCGTGTCACAGCAGGTGTGGCACGATAAAGATCCCTCCCTGCTCAAAGGCCGTAACTGCCGAGCATAGGCCCAAATTTGAAGCCCTTCACCGGCAATGGTGACGTCTCCATATCAGTGAAATATTCTGGAGAGGGACGTTAAACAGTATACAATCAATCAATCAATCTTCACGTAGGCCTATGACGTCCCGCTCTTGCCTTTTCAATTCATCTTTATTTATATGGTCTATTCTCTTCTATCGGATAACCAGTCAAGTCAACCTCAAACCCCTTTCTGTTTTCTGCTATAAACCTGTTTTCCAAAGTTATGTATGTATTTTTTTCATCGTTAACATCTCTTTTTTCCAAATACAAGAGTCAAATCCCACTCAAACTAGTGTTGCTTGATAATTTGGTGCTCCACATTACCGCTTAACGTCACCATTTTTGACAGTTTAATTCAAAGCGCTTTGGCATACATCGTCATATATTTGTCATTAATGATGTCAAATAAATGAAATTTACATACGAGTACACCAATTGATAGAGTATTTTTGTAAGTAAAATTTTTGACATTATATGGCCATATAGCCTGAAATCAACAAAAACTTCATTCACAATGTTATTTGTAAAAGTCAAAAAAATTGTCGTGCGCCGACCACAGATAAATGATGCATGTTTTTATATGCAAATGACATGCAAATGACATTACAGGCCTATAATATTTTGTCAGAATATCTAACAGATGATTTCCAAATAGCATGCCCAAAATTATTAGTTTTGGTTGAATAGTATTTGGAATTTTAAAAAAGTTCGCGTTTTTCTGGGACAAGCCTCGTACTTATGCTGTTTTAAGACCAGGAAAAATGTACAAAGAGTTTATGAAAGATTCAAGAAGCTGTTTCAAGACTAAAACGTTCTTAAGGCACAGAAAGTAATAACATACAGTGTAGATACGTGAACATGTCTCCATGTAACATAAGAAATACAAATATATGGATACTGTTCATATCAAGTTCGGTAAGTGAAATATATTTGGTATTTCACTACGCATCTTTGTTTTACTATAATTTAAGCTATCCTTCTCTCTCTAGCCTTATTCTATTGGTAAATAAAAACGTACCTCTACAACGCCTGTTTATACATCTCTCGCCAAATGGACAATCTATGTCGGACTAGAAGAAAATGAACATCTGGTTTATTGTTCAAAATTCAATTAAAGAAAAAGAGTTCATGAAACATTCATATCGTATTTAAAGAATGCATGGTATAAAAGAAATCAAAGCAACTCACTCGACAAATTTGAGAGCCACCAGAAACTTCAAAATAAATCAAAATATATACATTAATATACGTTATATTTTATACAGGATATATTCAAAATTATAAAGTACTCAGCCAGAATATTTTACATTCACATTCGGGTAAAAAAAAAAAAAAAGAAAAAAAACTCTATAACATGGTTGAAAATTTAAACCAAAGGAGACCCAATGATGGGTTAAATTTGCTTACATATCCCATTTTAAGAGAGAAGGGTTTTGATAACCATCAAATCGGCTGAAACGTGTATACCGGTACTAGTACTGTAGATCACTTAATTTTCGCAACACCTTATTTTCGCGAGATAGTCATTGACTCTTGATTAGCGAGACAAAATTTTCACGAATTGTGGTTATTGCTCTATATAATCTTAAGGAATACTATTATACACGAGAATTAAATTTTTGCGAGCACACTGTCTCGCGTAATTATGTGAAAATAAAGTTCTCGCGAATAAAAAGTGATTTACAGTATGTGAAAGCGCTTACTTATCAATGTATATGTTTAAAATCAAATTTTAGATGGAATTGCACAGATTTCCACACTGTCCACTTTTTTTTTTTTACAATAAAATCTTTTTTCCTAATTAAAATGTGAGTAAATCTCAAACGAGACATATATAATTGTTTTCAATTGTTTTAATTATGAGGGAAAAAAAAATAAAAAAGATGGTCTAGGTGTGTTCTAAAGGCTTCAGTTAAGTTTTTTCTCTCTGTAATTTAAGGAGATTAGACATTGGAGGACTTATAAATACGATTGCATGTGTAAAACGTCGATTGGTATCCTACCAACTGGGGCCTTGATTTGAACAAATTATAATCTACACCACCCCAGAAAGCTTTACATGTTCATTTTTTTCAATTCTTTCGATTAATTAATTGATTGTATATTGTTTAACGTGCCTCTCAAGAATTTTTCACTCATATGGAGATGCCAACACTTGCCGGTGGAGAGCTGCAAATTTTGTCCTACACTCGGCACTCAGAGCCATTGAGCAGGGAGGGATCTTTTTCGTGGTAGCACCTACTGCAATACTGGACCTTGGTTTATATGGTCTCATCCGAAGGACCGGTCTACATGTCCCACAGTGGGATTCGAAGCCGCGACGTAAGGATCATCTCCTTACTTCGCGACTCTTGAGCAGACGCTCTAACCACTGCGCCACGCGGGCGACTGCTTCTCTCGAAGATGGTTTCTAATTATCTCACTCTATATCCACTCTTTCAAAACGTAAAAAAAATCTTTGGAAGTTGATGTGACCCTTCATTTAAATAAAGTTGAATACCTTTATCCTGGAATACGTTGTGTTAATTTGGTTTAAATTGGCCCACTGGTACCATCTTCGCTAGCCAAGGGTTTCTGATACGCTACTCTCCTCATAAACCCTTGGCATACGGTGAAGTCAAAAGACGGGATTGTTTTCCGTCACGTGATCTCGAATCTATAAGGTACACACAGATTGCGTCATCGCCAGAAATAAAGACACGTGTTAAAAAAATCAAATCAAAGTTTTTAAAAGAATAATTAAGAAGCAATAATTGAGTTATGTTTATTCATTATTTATAGAACAAATCTGAAGCTTCAATATAGATTCTTAATCACATATTTAGAAGATATTGGATGACACCATGGCTATTCATAGAATTGAATGTTATCTTACGGATCGTTGTTTACTTGCGTTTTTCATTTCCGAGATTAAAGAGTGAAGATGTATCCCGAACGCAAAGTTCGTCATTTACGAAAAACAATTGCTGATTGGTCGACCTGGGTGTACTGAAATCCAATTAGAACTCTGGAAAAAAATCCCCATTTCTATAAACACCGTAGGCCAAGGGTTTATGAGGAGAGTAGCGTATCAGAAACCCTTGGCTAGCGAAGATGCACTGGTACTGGAGAAGGAGATTTTTAAAAAAAAATGTGAAAAGGTTATAACGACGACAATAACGACGACGACCCCAACAACAAACAATCATCAAATTTCGATCAAAAAGGCTCACCTGAGCATTCTGTACAGGTGAGCTAAAAAGTGAACTTTCTCATTTAGGGAAGGGTACGACTCGAAACTGTTTTATTTTCTACTATATAGTGCATGGTTGCAAAATCATTCGTTCTTGCATTGCCCTGATCCTCCACTTCCAGTTTTGTAAAAAAAAAAAAAAAAAAAATGACCTTAGAACAGGACAATATTTATGCTGTTTTAAGACTAGGCAAAAATGTACAAAAAGTTTATAAAAGATTCCTGAAACTGTTTCAAGACTAATTAAACGTTTTTAAAGCACGGAAAGTACTAACATAGATCTATACGTGAACATGTCTCCATGTATAAGAAATACATAAATATATGGATACGGTTCATATCAAGTTATGGTAAATGAATACTTGGAATGTAGTATTTCATTAGGCCCTATTATATTGCATTAATATTGAAATATTTTGATAGTGTAATAATTGTTAACATAATATATATTTTAAATTATGATCTTCTCTAAATGAAGTATATAGTACCCTAAATGATACGTTTTTACTACAAGAGTACATCTTATTAAATTTTAACGTACAGCACAATGTATTTGTTATTTCCATTAACCTGATTACGCATAATCTACCCTCTGCAATGTTTCAGAGGCTGCAATAGGCAATAAGGACTTATATGTACATTGGCTTAGTCTATCGAATTAACCAAAACCCGTATTTTAACAAAGAAAGTCTTTTACCTTGACAGTAGTTCCTGATACATCGGTAACCTGGGAAACAGTCGGTATCCTGCAAACAAAGTGTGTTTTATCAGATATTTCCATGTAAAGGCGCGTTTTGAATGGTGATTTTGTTAAATTCTTATACGTGTCAATAATATTTCTTACTCATAACATAGGAAATATTATAAAATAGCAGTTTACTACTCACAAATCTACAAAATCTTCCAGACTGCGCTAGCGCGGTGGAGATGAAAATTACGGCAATTCCAATGCACAGAAAAGAATTCATTATGAAGGTGGGTGATCGGCTACAATAAAAAATAATACTTATTATTTAAATATTTTCTGTCAACATTCAACGTAATAAACTTTCGAAATGTTTCAGTAGCCTGTGTATCCTCTTGTTTCACCACCTGCTTTAACTTGCGAATATTAATCACCACTAACCATTCATTTTACATATACTTTGTAGGGAAGCTTTTCTTGGTTTCAAAATTTATTAATCGCGAACAGTCTCGTTTAAAATTAATCTTTTGCAAATTCTATGGTGGAAACAATGACCTTATCAGCAAATGCGGTCTATCATTAAGTCAAGTGTTAAGAAACTTTCCATACGGAATTTTCCTGGTTACCCTATCATGACGCAGAGCACAGAACGGATGTGGCTGTTCGGCAGATACTGACTCCTTCGTGGCACCTAATCCCACCTCTGAAGTTTTTTTGTATGTCCTTGTTTAATCTGCTTCTAATTCAAACGTTTTAGTGGATTTTTGAGCAAAATAACTATTCGTTATCTTCATATCTAATGCATAATCATAAAATCTTTAATGTGGTACAAGGTTCGATCAGATTTACATAGCAGCTGAATTCAAGCTGGCGTTACTTTTACGATTTTAGATGATTTTAGAATTTGACATCAACGTCACAATGCATTGTTTACCTACCTGGTCGGTAAGTTTGGAGGTTCTGAATTTTCGCAGAACCTGGATGACTTTTATAGACCTAACCTTTCATCTTGTTAACACTTTGATCTATTGCATCGGGAGCCGATCTTTTCCTGGTTCAGAGCACCAGTTATGTCATAAATATGTTTGTTGTAAATAGTATTGTTGTTGATTCTAAAAATTCATTTCTAAAGTCAACAGTGCAATGACAAAGCGACTCGGTACTTGGTTAGATAGACATGTTTCAACATTTGTAAAATATGGCCATTGCAGAAAAACACGGTTTCCACATGGAATAATCTTTGTTCGTACAAATATTGATTGATAGTGGGGCATTTGGTAAAGTGAATTTTGGAACCTTTGCAATTTCATGAATCAAGAAAAAATCCTAAGTCATCCTGTTTGATTAACTCATATCATTAATAAGATTAATGTTACGTCTACATATCTCATATGAAGCCAAGGCTTAAGTAAACTTTTCTGATCGAATTCTCTCCTTTTGGGGCATGACATATATGGAGATGACGAACAGTATTTAAGCTCAAAAATCCATCAAACAATACAAAACAGGAGCAGAGCAATCATGGGCCTCTAAAAAATCAGAGGTGAGATCAGAGGTGAGATCAAGTGCCATGGAGGAGTGACCATCCCCTACGGACCAGCCACATCCATCATGTGTTTCTTGTCATGATAGAAAATAATGGCCTAACATTTTAGAGCATGCTCTTGCGTTTCAAATGAAATTAGTTATACAAACCCCGTATGCAGGTGTTGAAAGTGTATTGCTGCATAAGTCAGGGACGTTTGACTAATGAATAGTTAGCTATCACGTTTATTATAAAGCTTCGTAGTAAGATAACTATAACGTCTTTTTCAAATCAATTATCTAAATATGAAACAGCTTTGTCAGACTCTGTGGTATCTTTTATCTCAAGCTCACCAGGATATATCGTATCGACATAAGAATGGAAATAACCATTGTTAATTGACAATATGTCATCGTTATATCAAAATGTCGAGTTGAAGGCCACAGCAAGTGTTTTCTTTTCCCGTATCAGATTTCGTACAAATTCTGCTTCGTATGAGTACAAATAAGGAATGCTTATAAAGGGGCGCAATTAGCACCCATTAGAATTCCAATAGATTGTTGGAAGATCTAGTCTCCAAAAACCACATAGATATTGTCAATCAGAAACTCAAGCATCTTTTTAATATTAACTTCAGAGTACTTGTGTCTACAATCAAAATGTTTTTAACAGAAGAATTTTGCAAATGAATGTGAAGTTAGCTGAAAATTACAGGACGTTTACTGAACCAGGATCTGCATTAATTTTTCGTATGTATACCAAATTCTATGACCTGATCACAGAAAATGGATTTCAGTTGCATAAACTTATCTTTGAATACAATATGAAATATAGGATTCTCAAAAAAGGGGAAAATGCTCTCTCGGAACTTTCGCTCATTGCTCTAATCTTTTGACTATCAACGCATTACTCGTTCCAAGACTAATGTTCAGAAACAAGTTTGGAATTAATGAAATTTTGAAAACGTAAAATAAAAAAATAAAATTATCTTGTTAATTGATAGTTCACAGTTTGTGTACACTTAACGGAAGATTCGTTTGTTTTGTTGAGATAATAGATTAAAAGAATGTGAACAAAAGTCATATGTAATATTACGTATTTACCTATATGTTTATACTTAGCGATAATAGGACGTATATTACACAGGAAGTACATAAATATCACGCGCTTATTACAACCCTAAGTTCCTAGCTATCATGTAACGGTGTAGATACAGTGATATGGAAACCTCGGGAGACAGAGTTCCCCAGCGACCACTGGCTAAACTTATGTTCTACCTCAAATCAGTGTCCAACTGTGTGGACATTGAAGATTTGTGTGATTTACAGCGATGGACAGATTTCACTCATTATCATCTGCTCACAAATAAAGAGGCGGACGGTGTGGCGCGTTTGTGCTTCGCTCTGTCGCCAGATGTACTTAGAGACAAGTGTCTCAAAGACAGTGATTCAAACACTAAGGATTTTGATACAGTAGTTTACAATCTGGACCACGCTAAGAGACAGTGGGTACAGGGTGTGTCAGATCACGTGACTCTCAGTGGTAGTCTGCTTCGTGTTACGGGGGTAATAGCCTGCAAGTCAGAGTGGTTAGAGGAGTTTTATTATGCTCCAATCAAGCATTATGAACACGTGCTGGAAGGCGCCAGAATGACTTTCAGACTCGGATCTTCATCTTCAGGTCTAAAACAGAAATCTCAGACAACGTATGGAACTTTCTCTATGACAGGTTGTGTGAAGTGATGTAATGTGATGTCAATGAACTTTACAATATATCAGTTATTGTTATACTGCCGTGTTCCTAAATTGTTTATTAATATCAGGATTTAACTTTTAATTAATTACCAATTGTTGTTTATTTTGTATGAAAATAAATTTTATTTATAAATATTTGAAAACAGAGTGTATCGAAATATTAGAGTCGTTTGGCCAGTTCCGAATTTTGACCAGTTCCGAATAATTATTAACTTAAGAGCTGATAATTAATAAATTCAAAGGTGTAAAAATAAATTGATACCTATCGTAAGAAGGCTTATTTATGAGTGTTTGCCGTCCATTATCGCACTTGAAACAGTCAACATACTTTTACAATGCAACAAATCTGAATGGCCGCGACGCGTAAGTCTGTAGAAAAACCTCTGTAGAGACATCAATATTTCACATAAAACAACATTCTCGGTATCAAAAGTAAGTTTGATATATACTCTAACAAATAAAAATAAATATTTAGAACACCGGAAGATATCGGAATATTTTAATGTTGTCCGAATACCCATTATAAACACGATTATAAATTAATTTTCGTTGTTTCCTTCATAATAAACGTGACTTGCTATACCCCCGGTTGACAGGCAGGGGTAAGGGAAATATAAGGATGGGATGTTTTTCATCCACCAGTTGGTACGCCCGTCTGTCTGTCTGTATATCCATTCGTCTGATACGCTATGGGGTACCCATTTCTCCTCTACCACTGAATGAAATTTAATGAGGCTTCACAGAATTTATGAGGCTTTCACAGAATCTTTGTTAAATAGTACCAAAGAGCTTCTTTTATTTTATTTTTTTTTTATCTGACACATAATTTGGGCTCCGTTAGCAAAACATGGATATTGCCATTCCTGCTGATATTGAAGGGTACAATATCTATCTTTTATCCCCAATTCCTCCTTTACCACTGAATAAGATTTAGTGATACTTTCACAGATTCTTTATTACATGATGCTATTGTGAGCTCTCATTTTACTTTTTGATCTGACACTATGGGCAGCGGAAAGGGCAAAAATTACCATAATGAGAAAACAAACAGTTATTTTAATTTCAATGACCATAAAAACTTAACAAATGATATACAATGCATAATCAACAGACCTTTTCGCAGAACAAATATACATTAAAGCAAAATCAACGACCACGTACATAACAAACATATATAAATGCAAAACCAACGATCATCTATGCAGTACAAACGTACATAAAACCACGACAAATGAAAAAAAGTTAACAAACGTGCACGCAGTAAATCTAGTCTTCCAGACTCCCGGCTCCCGACGGTCACGGATTTTTTTTTTAATTTTTTTTTTTTATTTTGATTTTGTTTTTTGTCGGCGCACAGAAACTCTTCAAACTTCTCAGGCACATTTTCTTTTTAAATTAATTCAATAATATTTATTACTGATTCATCAGCATCACCTTCCCAAAGCGTTAAATGTAGTACTCCGTTATAAATATGAAAACCAAAAACGGACATCGATACAGAGAGACGTATAAGGTGTCGTAGATGGAATTAGTATTTCAGTGAAAATTGGTGGTGTTAATAAACAAGAGGCCCAAGGGCCTTGAATCGCTCTTCTGATAAATTGTACAATCTATCACTTCTATTTGAAGCCTCTAACCTTAAGTATCCTAAGACCCAAGTTGCATCAAATGACAAAGTTTGATGATTTTTAGCCAATAATGACTGAAAATATTTTTAATAATAAAGCTATAAAAAACCATAAGTACATCACAGTGACCTATATTAAGATTGAAATTTTCTGAGGACTCAAGATGCATTAATAAACAAAGATTGAAGATTCTAAGCCAATAAGTATTTGAGATATTTAAAAGTAGGTCACCATGACCTACCTTTTTGTCTACATTCTTTGAAAACCCAAGATACATCAACTGACAAAGTTTGATGATTCTAAGCCAAACAGTACCTGAGATATTCAAAAGTAGGTCACCATGACCTACTTTCTGATCGACATTCTCTAAAAACCAAAGATGTATCAACAAACAAAGTTTAGTGATTCTAAACCAGTTATTACCAGAGATACTTAAATAAAGCCATAAAATGTCGAAAGTAGGTCACAGTGACCTACTTTTTTGACATCATTCTCCGAAAACCCAAGATGCATCAACTTACAAAATTTGATGATTCTAAGCCAATAAATACCTAAGATACTAAAATATAGCCATAAGAAGTCGAAAGTAGGTCACAGTGACCTACTTTTTGGACATCATTCTCCGAAAACCCAAGATGCATCAACTTACAAAGTTTGATGATTCTAAGCCAATAAGTACCATAATTACTTAAATAAAGCCATTAAATGTCAAAAGTAGGTCACCGTGACCTACTTTTTGTTTTTTACTCTCCGAAAACCCAAGATGCATCAACTCACAAAGTTTGATGATTCTAAGCCAATAAATACCTAAGATACTAAAATATAGCCATAAAATGTTGAAACTAGGTCATCGTGACCTATATTTTGGTCGACATTTTTCAGAGTCACAAGATGCATCTGCTGACCAAGTTTGATGATCCTAGGTCTGAAGGTAATCAAAATATGCCTTTTAAATAATTCGAAAACAAATGCCTGTAAAATTCAAAAAGTAGGTCACAGTGACCTACTTTTTCATAAATATGTTTTAAAGTCCCAAGATGCATCAATTAACAAGATTTGATGATTCTAAACCTCTCAGTGTCTGAAATAATTGGATTAAATGTTTTAAGAAGAATTAGTCATAAAGTTCAAAAAGTAGGTCACGGTGACCTACTTTTAAGCTGACGTTGTTCAAGGACCCAAGATGCATCAACTGACAAAGTTTGATGATCATAGGCCTTAAAGTGCCTGAAATATGCCTTCAAATCAATTTGAAAACAAATGCCCACAAAATTTAAAAAGTAGGTCACCATGACCTACTTTTAAGTTAACATGATGTGAAGTCCTGAGATGCATCAACTTACAAGATTTGATGATCCTAGTCCTAATAGTAAGCAAAATATAAACGTTTTTATTATTTGTAAATTTAGGTCAACTTTGAAGTGACCTTGAGACCACGCCCTTTGCCCGAGGTTCATGCCTTGAACAATTTTTAATCTTCAACATATCCTGATCCTTGTATGTAAGTTTGGTGAAAATCTGCCAGGTGGTTCTGGAGAAGAAGATTTTTTAGCAACCAGTACTTTTGGTTTTGTTTTCCTGATTATCTCCCCTTGTTTAAAGGTCTCAACCCTTATTTTAGTATCAATGGTAGCCCTTGGGCCAAGGATACCCTGTGACAAATTTGACAATAATTGGCCAAGGGGTTCTTAAGTTATGGCCCATAATCTAAAAAGTTAACGCACACCGCACGACGCACACCGCACAAATGGCCATAGCATTAGCTCTTTGAGCCTTTGGCTCAGAAGAGCTAAAAAAATGAAAATTCAAATTCATAATATCAAAATGATTTGATTTCAAAAAAGATTTTTATCAGAATTTTCATAAATATAGCTAAATCTAACATTGTACTTATGGTAAAACCATGCAAAATAAAAGTATTTCATTTTTATACATTGACGTAGCATCGTTTTTGAAAGGAGGGGGAAACCATGCAGAGAGAGAAAAATCAATCTAGCTGAAAAAAAGATTTAAAAAATTGACAAGCAAAAACAAATAGGAAATCAAAAGGAAATAGCCCAAACTCGAAAATCCTATTTCGTGTGTGTGGGTGAGGGTGTGTGTGTGTGGAGGGAAGGGGGGGGGGTAGGTTCAACTTCTTTCAGTACTAATTTTTTTCCTAATATACATGTACTACATAATCCTTTTTTGACCTTATACTCTTAAAATTAGGAAATGTTGCTACGTGCCTGTCATATAATATGTCACTGTAATGTAAAGTTATCATAATAGATTCTTGTAATATTTAAAGAATTGGCGAAAACCAATTTATGTAACCAAAAAAAAAAAAAAATGACGAAACGGCCTTCAGGAGAGTGAGATATTTTTTTCATTTTATGTACATTCTTTTCTTTCATTTGAAATTTTTAAGATAAATTAACCCCCCCCCCCCAAAAAAAAAAATTAAATGGGGATCCGAGGTAGAACCACGTCCATGTTGTAGAGCCTGGGAACATAAACATGATGTGGCAAAGAGTTCTATGCGAAAAAAAAAATGTGTGGGGAATTTTAGTGCATACAAATTATCTGGCATGTAAATGAGGGTTTTCATTTATTAAAAAAATATACCTCAGTTTGTTGTTTTTAATCGTACTGCTGATTCAGTAATAATTTGTTAAAGTTTTTATACCATTAAATTTAATGA